GTTTTAAATGTGTCTTTGGGAATCATCTGTAAAATATTATCAAATGACATTTTTCATATGCGAGACATATTTTAGGGTACACTGTACATTGCCTTGGTGCCAGTTAATTCCAGGATCTAACTTTTTAGTCATTTTGTCTAACCCTCTATGTGCATGTTAAACAAACCTGATACTTGGGTCCTTATTGTTTTAAACCTGGGGACATAAACGCCTGTGAAATACAAAGGAACTAATATATCTTAAAAATAGATCCCTGGGGGGTCTTTGAGAAGTACCACTTTATCTTTGCCTGAATTTAAATATGATGGAAAACTGTATGATGTCTTTTTGAACTATCCCACTTTCCATAGATGCCATTTAGGTTGTTTCATGCACCCGCCAAGGAGTGTGAAGATCACAGTGGCTAATTTTAAATGCTCTTGCTTTCAGAAATGTATCTGCTGGTTTATTGTACGAGAATAATGGTGGACCACTTCGTAAGTCGTGACTTTGAAATCAATATGGAGTCTGAAGTATGTCAAAACCAAAACCACCCCCTACCCTGCCGCGGCTTAGAGGTTTGTTACCCCACCTGGGCCCCAACAAAGTATCGGGTTTTAGGCCGGGTACAGGTCTGGTTTTTTATGTTCAACGTCAGGCTTGGTCGGGTTACTTTTTATGCGTGATTTATTTATTTTTTTAATGTGCAGATCGCTTTTTGCACTTGTTGGGTCCTTTGCTAATTTGCACTTTCCATATCGCCCCCCAACACCCATACAGGCCAAGTCCTATTCGGTCCCAAGGCCTCGGGTACGGGTCCAGCTAGGGCTTTTATTTCGGCCCCGTACAGGACTCTACCCTGGCTGGCAGGTCAAGTGGTGGGGGTGAGAACCCGACGAATGCGGGGCAGTGGGAAGTATGTCGGACCACATTGCCGTCTGAGTACTTCTCCAGACTGCCCTGCGTATTTACTGCATGGTGCTGCACTTGTCTGCACTGCACTGTCGTGCTATTTGCGCTCTCTGTATTTATAGCCTCTCTCCGTTCTTGTAGGTTGTACCTTGCTCCCCCCACTGCCTACATACATATGGAAGGGATGAGAGCAAAGATGACTTGACTTGAGAGTGGACTTGCTTATAGGGGGAAAAGACCATCTTCATCTACAGGGGAGGTAAAGGAGTAAAAGGGTAGGAAGATAAAAAAAAAAGAGGAGGATGAATACAGAAGGGAAGTGAGAGTTGCAGATGGCTGTCACCTGTTCTTAAGACATCAGTGGATGGATGATGTGTGTCAGCTGAAGGTGCTGATTAGCCTGTCGCACACTAACCATAGCCTCCCCAACACACAACCAGAGTGGCCAGCAACAGGCCAAAACCGGGGAGAAAATCTGTACAAGATGAGCAACAACACCAGACTGCAGTAGTGCAGGTCTGGATGCTTACATGAGCTTCATCCCTGGGAAGAGTTGTCTGGCTCCACAGCTTCAGATTTCCAGAATCGTCACTTAATGCATCCTCTAATAGTGCTAGTTTAGAGATAAAAGGATGTAGATGTGGGGAGATTAGCAACAGGGAGAAATATTCCTGATTTTGTCTCCCATCCCACCCAACTACTCTATACTGTATCTTTGTAAGCCAAATGCAATATCAGGGATGAGTTCATTAAAGCATTATTAGCACGCACAGGGTTTTATATTAACAAGTATGTCCTTGCCGAAAACCTGAGGCAGAGTCACAGGTGAAGAGCATAAAAAATGCCTGACGGTGCAAACATTTGAAGGTTCTGGACGTTTAACTGCATCGTCTCATTGAGCGGCCTGGGGAGCTGGCAGGTGCATGCAGCTGTACCTGCGAGTTGATCAGGAGTCGCCGAATACTCAGGTGAGTGACCTGCACATTTTTTGGGTAAATCCCAAAGCACGTGCGTTCATGGTTTGAGTACTTGTGGAATCCACAGCAGCTGATTAGGCAGATGGACGAAAAGAGACAGAAGATCCGGCAGCAAAGTGTGATTGCTGTGAGAAATGGCGATTTGTTTTATAAATTGGAGACAAAAGGCAGAGGCGGGAAGGTGCTGAACGGCTAGCAGATCTTCTTGATGCCTCATGTCTGTGCGGTTATGGACAGTAGTAAGTCAGGGCAGTGGAGTATTGTCAATGGTGAAAGCAGAGTGTATGAACCTCAGAATGCTTTACAGCTACCTTGCTGTTAATACGTTTTGCTCTGACTGAAGTATAAGACTGAATCGGTTTAGTTACAGTCACAGGAGGGACAAATGTAATGCGCTATCTCATGACATATGAACAGTCAGTAAACCTCTGTCTGGAAGGCATAAATCTCCTGATAAATAATGAAAAATCCATCACATTTCCAGCACAGTATCCCTTATTGACTTCAAGAATGTGAGTGTGATGTTGATCAACTCTTTTGGCATAGTATTGATAGGAATTATGTTATAGTTCTGGAACTGGGAAAGTCAGTCTGCTCTCTATCATTTATGAATACCAGCTTTGTACTGTATGTAGTTCAGTGTTCTGATTTTATACATCGCAGACTTCATATCTTATCTGGTACATACACTGTACATACATTGCCAGAAGTATTGGGACACCCCTCCAAATCATTGAATTCAGCTGGTCCAGTCACTTCCATAGCCACAGGTGTATAAAATCAAGCACCTAGGCATGCAGACTGCTTCTACAAACATTTGTGAAAGAATGGGTCACTCTCAGCAGCTCAGTGAATTCAAGTATGGTACCGTGACAGGATGCCACCTGTGCAATAAGTCCATTTGTGAAATTTCCTCACTACTAAATATTCAACTGTTAGTGTTATTATAACAAAGTGGAGGCAATTGGGAACAACAGCAACCCAGCCACGAAGTGGTAGGCCACGTAAAATCACCTTTGGGATGAATTTGAGCAGAGACTGTGAGCCAGGCCTTCTCGTCAAACATCAGTGCCTGACCTCACAAATGCTCTCCTGGAAGAAAAAATTCCCATAAACACACTCCTAAACCTTGTGGACAGCCTTCCCAGAAGAGCTGAAGCTTCCCAGAAGAGCTGAAGCTTCCCAGAAGAGCTGAGTTGCTAACGGTGGGCCAACTCCATATTAAAGCCTATATATTAAGAATGGGATATCATTTAAGTTCATGTGTGTGTAAATGCAGGTGTCCCAATACTTTTGGCAATATAATAATAATGTATATTATATCTGCCTGTGTTTATGCACAGTCTCCATGGAAACGTTAAAACCACTGCTGCCACTGCTGGTTATGCAATTCATCAATGAATGATCATTTATTATGGCATCATAACCTTGAGATAATTGTGTTTTTACACTTGAAACCGGATGTGCTGTAAACTATTTATGTGCTAATGCTTGTGATCTGATAGTAAAGTCATGCATCTCAACATCTCATGTTTCTATTTTTTTAGCATCCAGATTGGTCAGTATTGGTCATTGTTGAGTATAGCTGAGAGCTCCTGGAGATTTGCAAACACTTTCCCCCAATTAACAGTTGTTTCCTGAGCTGGAATAGCTTATGTTAGCGGGTCCCGTAAAACTGACGATGAAGCCAAAGCAGTAGGAATTCAACTGTGTGATGATTACATCATCGCCCTAATATCTCCTTGCTGTTCAGAATTACTAGTGAGATCATTATGACTGTCCCCATATACATGTTTACTGAAATACTTAAAGTACTCAACTGTCATTAGTGCAATTTTGCAAAGTAAGACAAGACATTTGCATCACTTTCGTTAAGTATTTAACTTAATAAATGATGGTAATAATAATTTAGAATACATTAATTCAGTAATGTTTATAAGAACAATGGCCATTTGTTAATTTTGCAATAAAAACGATGAAAAGATTAAATGTCATCTCACAAGTGTATAGGTGAAAAGCTGCTTGGATAAAATGTCATTGTGGTGAAGTCATGCGTCGTAAAGCATCATATTTTTCTGTTTTCACAGCTGAGGAGGCAGTCTGCCCTGTGCTGGACGTGCGGCTCAGTGCTGCTCCTCGTATTTAGCTTGACTGTGTTCGATGTCCCAACATGGCTGCCCCCCGCTGGGGTTTTAATTAACTCCCATCCTGAGGCTGCGGGAGTCAGCCATATGTGCTTTAACAAATACTGCTGCCAAGCTTCTCCCCCCGTCTGATTTTTTCCTCGCCTCGTGTCTCTCAGAACCTCTCTGTAATGTTACAACTCATTACATACCTCAATCCCCACCCGCTTCTATCCAGCACAAGCAGGGACCGTGCAAAGCCCAGAAACCTGACTGAGAATTGTTGTCACTAATATCTGTTTTCCAGCGGCATAAGTTTGCATGCCCTGGAAGAATTGTGACCAATATAAATGTGCATTTTCATGCACTAGGGAAAATTCCAGAAAAGGGCAAATACAATAAGCGCAATATGGTTAATATCGCCGGCAAAGGTCTTTTCGGTTAAGTAGTTTCTGCCCATCCACATAAACTGGAGTGAGGGACAGGGGCCTGTTGACAGTGGGGGGGGGGGGGCAGGGGTGTGGTAGAAGGTGATTCCCAGCAAAAACAAGGTCCGTGTGAAAAAGGGTCCTGTTTTCTCAGGGCTGGAGACAAATGTCCCAGCAGGCTGGGGATAAATATGGTGAATAAAAATAAGCCCTGCAGATTAAGCTCCCCCCTTATCTCACATCCTCTCCGGGCTGGACTGCCAATTTTGGAAGCTGGCTGCATTGTATCCTGCACAGAAGCTGAGGCATCTGTCCTATACAGAGACAGCTATTTCCTCAGTCGCTGCGGCTTTCAACCCCAAAACAGAATTGTTTCAGGAGGACATTACTGTAATCCTCCGAAAGTCGCAAAACAATCCAATATCTTCATGCTTTAAGCTAAGTACGTCGGTGAGGTGAATCGGTACATGTTCAGTCAGCACTTCCTGTGGGTTTAAGGAACAGTAACTAAAAATAAATACATATTTATTATTTAAAATCTCTTTAAATATGGAAATGTGAACGTGGGGCAGATGCACGGTATCCTGTAGCACCTAGCCAAGCTTTAAAAATAACACAAAATTCTCCACCTATGTCCACTTCCGCGCCACAGCGACATTCCAAATTACAGCTAGCTGCAGCGGCCGCTGTCCCGCTCGGCGCGGCCCGATGCCCAGCTGTCTCCGTCTGACATATTTTCAAGTGTGTTTCCAGCAGGCACCCTGTGCTGTGACAGAGCACGAAGCAGAAACATCACAGACGGCTGGTCTGTAGTCACAAATAACGGTAAGTCACAGCGGCATTAGGTCTGATTAACGGTCCTTGGCTTCGGCCTGCCCTGAGGATCCGCACTTAAACATAGTAAATTATTTCAATCCAGTGCCCAGGAATGCTTGGCAGTGTGGCCTCGACAGAATCAGGCGAAGCCCCGGCTTCCCCACGACAGCAGGCCCCTCAGCCTGAAACAAATGTCTCTGCCTGCTCTTCGTCAACCATTGGCCTGTTGTTCATTCTTTAAAAGCATTCCATGGTTGCTGGGACGCCTGTCTTTGTAGTAACGGGTGGGCAGAGCCAAGGCTAGTATCCAAGGCATGAAGGCTTGCCCTGAACCTGCCCTCAGCACCTGCAGTCGCAGTTCTAGGCTGCCTTTGTTGTTTGTCAACAGCCTGTTTGCCCCCTCACCCAAACCAGTGTTTCTCCTGCCTTTTAAGGGTGGAACTCCTTAAGATACAAATAATACAGCTCGCATGTTGGGGTGTACCATCCAATGCAGTGCCCCCGAAGAATGGCGTGCAGCTGCCCGGGCACAGTCGAACCCAGTGATAGAATTCAACACAGACACCCACCTATTCACGGTGGCAGCCGCTTTGGCCAGCCAGTCACACAATCAGGGACCTTTCTGATGCAGATACACAGAGACTCATTGTCAGGATTGGTGACAAGGGTCCAGTCATGAGTTCAGAGCTAAGCTGCCCATTTCATTTTTAAAAAATAAACCAGCAAAGTACACAATAAATGCTGCAAATAACAATCTTCGTAAATTATTTAATTTCATATTATCTCAACTTCGTTTATTTGCTCGTCAAGTAAGATATGTATTTTTCCTGTATTAAAAGAGAGAGAGAAGTTTATAAGTTTCGCTATAATAATTTTTAAACATACACGGGACAAAATACATTTACTTGGGAACTGAGATTAAAGTGAACAGCATTAACAAACAGCTTTACTGTAGTCATGTGTGCACTACAACCAGAATGATTAACGCTTCGTGCTTTAGAAAAAGGGCCCCTTCAGAACAAAGAGAGCGCAGAGGATTTCACCGTCATTTCAATAAGATCTGCGCTGTTGATGTTTCAGTGGCATCTGAATGATTGGCCCCTTATGTCTAAATATGGCTTAGTAAGGATATCAAGGTTATGGCCATCAAATGCCATAAAGTATTATATATAAAAATTAGTTTATTGTCATCCAGATGTAGATGCCTCCCTTATTCCAAGCCGCATGGTTCCTCTTTGGGTGACATTTAGGTCACGCCGGGGTCCGCTCCCTCTGGCTGACTTGCTATGGGAAAGGATTGCGCTGACACTTGTGATGTGAGTGGAGCATTAAGGGAGGTGTGTGTGCAGCCATCTGAGGGTAAATGGACGATGGACAATCAGTTGCAGTTCATTGAAGAGTGTGCGAGATCTGAGATTGTATGGTGACACGAAACGGCTGTCCCCTTGACTTCTAAGAAGGGCAAACGTTCTGACCTACAAAGTCAGAGGTACATGATCTAAATGTGGACAGATTCCTGCAATATTACACTGTTTCTCAGGTACTATAGGAGAATCTAGCTATCAGCATCATTTAACGTCTTCCGTACAGCACTCGGTATGGTAGGAAGTCCTTACTTCCTGTGTTTTCACACAATTAAATCACCCCAAAACATAATGCTAGCTCCTTACCAGAACAATTTTAATGCTGTTCTTGATTCCTTAGCAGTAGACTGTGAAAGAGTAAATACTAAATCGGGAGATGGAATGCCATCAGTGCAGATTTGAGATTTTAACTAAATCAGCCACAAATTAGCTCAGCAGTGCATTTTCTCAATCAAATAAAAGGCTTTCTTTTTTGAAATGTAATTACATCATACTCATCTAAGTTTTTAAGAAAAGAATTTTAGATCATTTATCAATATTCAACATTCAGATCCTTGCCGAGTCTCTGTATTTTGACAAAGCTCACTCTTACCCCAGACATGATTTTACTTGTGAAGCTACGGAATCATTTGACTGCAGGGATTTTCACTGTGTCCAGTTTGCAGCATTACTCAGCATTACAGGAGCACAGATTACTGTCTACCCATCAAAGCGGAATATAGGCGTCAAGGCTGTTAACTCTTTCCGCTTGAAGCCACCAGCAAACCACATCAAAGAGGCCAACTTTTTTTTTCTACAAAAATGAGAGACAGCTAAGCATTTCAACACCTGCAAATGAAAGCATGATATAAAGTAACAAATATTTATATATACTTCATAATGTTCAGAGTGATATATTTAAATATTAAACTATCACTTACCATTTATCCCTTGAATGTGTTTAACATTTGCATATGCAACTTTAATTTAATGATTTTTGCAGATTTGGGTTTCACATAATATTACCATATATTTTACATTCCTGCATTTTCCCTCCTGAATAGCAGAAGTAACTTTTGATTTAAACTTTTGATTTAAACTCAGACACTAAAGCTCCTCTCATTACTTGAACAACTATTTTTATCTGGTTGAAAGAAATACCTAGCGACTGTGTAAAATTAGCTGTCTGTTTTTATTTGTAACCATGAACCACTCCATAATGTCGAATTCTTGGGCTGCGCTTTAACTCCGTGACTGTTAAAAGTTAATCAGAAGATGAAGGTTCTTAATATTCATCTGCAATTCTTTATAATTTAAATGATCTGCTATTTCTTTATCATTGTTTAATTTGTAGTTGTGTGCAATGTAGTTCCCGGCGTGACAGCACAAACTGCACATTCCTGTGTGATTATATAAGCTGCTCTAAACAGTGTGATGCAGTCTACAACATATACCTCCTGACCAACTCTGCTGTCCCACTTGCATTCATTTTATCAATGTTAATACATGGTCGCACATAAACACGGTGTAAACACAGCATAAATTACAGCCCGACTGTCTCCCCAGAGACATGCAGGCTTTTCTAAACAACTGGGCCTGGATTCGGAACGAAAGGATTGTTTGTTTAGTTTTTGTCTGTCCTGCTGTATAGCATCTGATTAAACCTAGCCCAGCTACGTAACACATAACCCTTTTTTTAACTGCGTCCGACATGTGGCATATAATATTCTGATGAAATGGTTTGTCCAAGGCTGAGTCAGGATTTTTCTTCTCCTGATGAACATTCTGAGGGTTGCTCATTAACTGATTGATGACTGTACCTCTCATTTCCATCATTGCACAACACCAGTACCTATACAGAGAATCTGAGGGGGTATAATTACTGAAAAAAATCTGTATAAAATCATTCTGCATTTATTCAGGGGCATCAGAAGCATTTTGAATGTGTGGGGGACACACTGGCATAAAACTAATATTTTATGTTAAATGTGGGGGGGTCCAAATGAATAATTATGAAATGTGAGGGGCATTGATTTTTTTTGCATTTTCTATATCCTTATGTAGTACATAATAAGACGTATTTACAATACAAGTATTTGTTTCATCTGAAAAAATCCATTTATTTAGGTGCAAGTATACTAGACACATTAAGTGTTTTGACTGTAACTGTTGTTTTAAGATGTTTAAACAAATGAGATGTTGCATTATTGTTGTAAGCTAAGTTATTTCATACACTCTACTTTAGGTGAAGTTCCGCCTGCATCCAGCACTGAGATCCAGCTGTGTTTTTGTGAAGGTGTACCATGCAGAAGGAATCCGGCATCTACCAGGACGCCTCACCCAAGTCAGGACAGTCATGTCCCGGAAATGTCGTCCCGGGCGTCCCAGGGGGCCTGGCATAGGCTCCGGCGGTGGCACCGTCTCTGGGACGCGGCGGCCATGTGGGGAACAGTCCCTCTCCGGGAGCGTTATCGGAAGCAGGCGCGCGGAAGCGGAAAAAAAATAAAACACGACATTAAAAACATCCGCGCCACCACCGTGTGTCCTGCATGGATCATGAGAGACATTTCTGATCTGTAATGGGAGAAGAGCATGAGGAAGCTCAGGAACGTCACCAGCGGAAAGGCTGTTTGACTGGAAGACTTTTATTTATAATGGGAAATAATATTACTTATGTCAATAAGTCAATGTCAAAACAATCAGTCAACAGACTACATCAAAATGATTATATTACACATTTGTTCTATATTCATAGACGCAGCTATATTTTCAATCGGTACAAAGCAATTATGTTATAGCATAAATGCATGCATGTTTGGGGTAACATAATGTTTTATAACCCTGGACGAAATGTTATGTATGCATTTGCACAGGATCCAGAATAGCATGCGCGGTACAGAGGGCCTTTGTGGCCGGGACCTCAGGTATGCCCCGCGCGCTAACATTAGCTTCCAGCTCCATGTTGAGAGATGAGGTCAGAGTCATTTCAAAGCATGAGCTCACCTTTCCGCTGAGAGCACCGGGGGCGCTGAAAGAGACACCTTCTCCGCAGCGACAGAGAAGCTCATCAAGTCCTATTTCGATCATTAGATCAGCGGGCCCTGTTAATGTTTTCTCACTTTCAATCATCCCCCCCCCCCCCCCCCCCCCCAGTAACGACCTCTCCTGCAGACTCCCAGCAGGGACACAGCTCTGCTGAATTGTGCACTTCGCCATTTATCCTTTGTTTACCCACATCCCAGTCTTCCCCGTCCATCTCCTCGTGACATCAACCCTGCCTCGGTTACCCATCCTCCCCAGTGCCCTGATCACTCAGATAAAGCAGGAAAGGGACTGATTAGTCAGGAATCTCGTTACATGCTGTAACGGATCCTTCTGTCCCTCTTTGCGTTAATTGAAGAGCCTGGGCCAGGAAACAAATTGAGTGAGTAGCGTGATAGGGGGCGCTCTATCACTCTGGATGCGCAGGGCATCTGACAAGTGGAGGACTTTTGAGATTCAGGGAGTCTGAGGTGTAGCACTCTACGGAAGTCACTCCCCCTCCCCTGCTCACAGCCCCAGAAATGGCTCCTTGAGGTACCTGTGTTGCCCAGATGCTGCGGGAATGCCGCTGCACAGACTGGGCGCTCTGTTCCAGTTAACACAACTGGGAGTATGGGGAATCTCCCACACGCTTGAGAGACCAAGGAAGAAAACTCAATCAAGACAATGGCAGAGTTCGCTGACCTGAGTAATAGCTCTCCAGCGCAGGAGGAAATTATAGCCAGTACTAACGATACGTAAACGGCAGAGAGAGAAAACGACGGCCATTTCACTGGGAAAAAAATCCTAGGAAGTAAGATAGAATTCTATAGATATATTCCTGCAAAGGCCACAAAGTATGTGTATGTTTATCCTGTAGATGTAAGCATCAGATATTCTATACATTCTATACATGTTTAAATCACGTTTAAAAACTCACTTGTTTAAGGTGGCATATACAATTTAATCATTTTACATTTTTGTGCATTTTATGGGTAATTTTGTGTATTTATATTTTACTATGTTTTTTTATTTTTTTATTTTTTTTAATTTATTTATGTATTTGTGATTTGTTGTGTTAAGTGACCTTGGGTGTTTTGAAAGGCGCTGAAAATAAAATGTATTATTATTATTATTATTTTTATACAGTGGTAATGTCATTGCTAATTCTGCGTTGCGGTGTGTTTCATTAGAAGGCCGGCTTACTGGAAATGCATAACTCCCTGAATCTGTTAGATGGGACTCTGCCACATTAAGCTCAGCTCTTCCCAGTGAAGTGGCAAAACCTGTCCTCTTTGTTTAATTAAGGCTCCTCTCTTTTGTAATTTAACCTGCATGGGTGCCTCTTGCTGGAATTTTAATACATGAAAGGATTCATGCATTAATGTGCAAAGATACTACTGATGTTAATGTTCCACCAAAGCAAATGTCTTTCACTTACATTTTGCAGTTCCGAATGGCCGTACACTCAGGTTAGCGAAATGAACTTATTCTTTATGCTGAATGTGAAATTTGGTTTATGGCCGACTGCTTTCAGAAAACATTGATCTGGAGATCAGGGTTCACTGCAATCAATGTCTTGCCATGGTAGACATCAGAGGAAAAAATCAGATCCATTATATATTACTGGCATGCATACAAAAATTATATGAGTTCAACAGAATTTCAACTGCAGGTTTTTTGTAGAGCTAAACGCAGAATGTTTACTTGAAGTGATCAAGTAATCCAGTGATCAATAGGTGAAAACTGGCTCTCTACCTGCTCTGTCTTTACACTTGTGAAACAAGCTGTACACACAATTGTTAAAATGACAGATGATACTCCTGACTTTCCTTTAAGTGTGTGGCAGCATTTCTGTGCAAGGGCGAGTCCGGTGAGAATGTCTGTGTGTCTCGCTTGTTCTGGCTCTCTGGACTGACCATCCATGACTCAGACATCCTCCCAAGTCCCAACAAGGACAGAGTCAGGTTACAAGACAAGAGGATATGCCTGCGGTGAAGCTTTCCTCCCTGTTTGTAACCTGGTGCGTCCATGAATGCCTGACCACCTCTGTCAGCCTGCATGGATATTCGGCAGCTTTATGCCTCTTTACCGTCCCTGAATGTTCTAACGTCACACTTCTGGTCCTTCAATAGCCTTATTAGGTTCTTGCCTTGTTAGATGTTGCTGTGTAGCTCCTGCTCCAGTGCTGCTCACACTTGGACCTGGACATTGATTGGAAGCTCAGCCTAGATGCTCTTATGCCTAGTTGACTCCTAACAGCACTTATCTACTTGGCTCTCCTCTGCATTGCTTTGGACAAAAGCATAAAAGCATCTGCTAAATATGCAAATGTGAATGTAAATGAATTCATGCAACTGTGAAGAAAAGATGTTCACCCTGTGGTCCTTAAAGGGGGGGGGGGCATGCTTACAGACTGGAGGATAATTGGGTTAATGAAGGTGCTGCAGGACAGGCTGCTGGGCATCACAGTGTATGGAGTTTGGTGTGTGGCTCTTCTTCCAGGACGCTGGGTTCCTTCCGCATTCCAAAAACACGTAGCTTAGGTGAACTGGCGTCCCCAAATTTCCCATTGTGTGAGTGCGCTTGTGTGCCCTGCAATGGACTGCAATCCTGGGCAGGGCATCACCGCCTACTGCCCTGTGCTTCCTGGAACAGACTCCAGGCTCGGCACCACCCAGTACTAGATAAGCAGCAATGCATTATGCGTAGTTGTTGCACATTGCACAGAGCTCTTGTACAACTTGTTTAAAAAGATCAAATACCATGAGGACAATGAACTAACATGAACAATACCTAAATAGACACATGATCCCATAAATGAATGCATGAACACATTTTGTGCTTAACAAAATGAAAAAATGCAACGGACTCTCAACTGTGAGTCCACGTGAGTATAATTTACTGACGCAAAAGCAAGAATAAGAAAGTGATAAGCAAGAGATAAGCCTAAAAGGAAGAAGAGGAATCCAAACAGCCTTATCAGTGACCACCAAACGTGATTTAATTCCAGTGCCGGCAAACATACAGTTTTGTATGCCTTTTTTTTGCAGTGGAACAGTGACTAATTGTTGAGTGAACGTGTTCTGCAGGTTTGCAGCCTGGTGGAACGGTTTCTCTACGCATGTGGCGTCTCTGAGCAGAATCAAAGGATCCTTTCAGGTCCTCCCCAGGGATGAGGCGGTGGGCTATTCTGCATGTGCGAGGGCATGCAAACGGAAACGCGTGCCATGCAGCGCGAGGGCATGCAAACGGATACGCGTGCCATGCAGCGCGAGGGCATGCAAACGGAAACGCGTGCCATGCAGCGCGAGGGCATGCAAACGGAAACGCGTGCCATGCAGCGCGTGGTGGGGGTAATGTCCAGAGCAGAGACACACAAGGCAATTCTTTTCTACCACCAGTGGGCAAAAATTTGTAAATCTGAGCCCCTTTAATGCGCCGCCTTTCATAACAGTTCCTTGTTCATAGATAATGAGTACTGTATTACCGTTATACTGAGCATCTTTGATCTAAAAAAAAAAAAACAATCCTATATTTAAGGAATGAAAGAAAACCTTATGTCTATAAAGCCAAAATGAGCATCAATGGAATATTACACTAATCTGTACAGCAATACCATTAGTAATGTACCAAAAGTGGCTGACTGCTTGAATTCCACAAAAACATAACTTTGGCTGCCATGTAATTGTGTTCTCATTTTTAACATATTACTCACTGAGTTGATGCTCTCATCCATCATTGCAAACTGCTGTGGCCACAAATAACCAGCACAACAGTGTAAAATTGCTGGTAATATCTCAGAATAAGCTGGAAAGCTGGAGTCTCAGAATGACGGCGGGGCTGTTTGCAGTGACGCCATGTGGGATCCTTGCATCTAAATACTAAATTGCATTTTGTCTGATGCTTATTTGTAGACAGTGACATTGGAATGATCATTGTATTGAGGCACACAGAACATAAATGACAACAGGAAAAATGCAGAAAACAGTCAAATGAAATACTTCAGTATAGTGAGTGAATGGCACAAAAAAAATCATCCATCAATCGATCTTTCATAGCCACTTATGCACGACAGATTCATTAGAGGCAGCGTAGAGGACAAGATCATCAGGCCATTGCAGGGTAAACATTCACTGGGCAAGTGAGAGGCACCAATTAACCAAATGATTTTGGCAAAACCATTTATTGGTATAATACTAGTATTTAGTTGTATTGTAATTTTAAAACAGCTGACTCTTGATTTAAGCCCTGATTTGCTCTTTTCATCCGTTCATGCTGCTTTCTTGGCGAAGACCTCCTGAAGAAGGGCTCCTCCGGTCTACGGACACATGGAAAGGCCGCGCTCCCTTAATACCGCCTTAGCACATGCCACCTCCTGTCTCCTGCATCTCACGCATCCAGCGGCAGTGGGTTTCGGGCCCTAAGCATGTCTCCAGCTGCACAGCAGGTCTGCGGAGTCTGCATCTGCAGCTCCGGGGGGAGAGACTGCAGGCTTAGGCTTCTCACAAAGGTACATGTCTGGAGAGCGGGCACCTCTCTCAGTCTGAGTCCAACCTTTTCCAACACGTGAGCAGATTATTTCAGGATTAATTTTATATAACCTGCCATGAATCCAGAACAGATTTGTGCATGTGTATATGTCAGAGAGAGAGAGAGAGAGACAAAGACAGAGAGACTCACACCAAATTCAATTTTAAATAATCAGTACAAAGGCAATGGGGATCCAGGAGTTATCACTGCTTGGAACCCCAATAATAAGTAATAAGCAAATATTGGACATATTAGATATAATTTAATCTGCAACTTCAGGGAAAGAACTGAATTTAACTGTTAAAAAATGACTCCCCATTTAATCGATATTGCAGTAGGCACCATTGAAATTGATCCAGTATGATATTTTTTTCTCTGAGTTTTGGGACTCCTCATGTCTGTTTTTAAGACTTTTTCAATTTACTTTACGGGTCAAATACGGGTGAGATACAGTAACCAAGGGTGAAGAGGAATTCTGCGTCATGGGGAAAAACGTATCGTTTTATACAAACAAATCCATACTGATGATGACAACTGTCCGTCCGTCGCTCCTATCGCTGGTGACAAACACTTGTCACTGGAATAGACCCACAACAGATGGGCCCCGAGTGGGCAGATAGGAAGCGTGCAATGCAGCCTCGATAAGCTTTATTGCAATATCACTCAGCAACAGGGACAGAAATAAATAAAACAGCACCGTTGTAGTCAGGTGGCAAATATTTGTTGAAGGGTAGTTCCAGTAAAGCCCTCGGCTATTAGACGGTCGACGCGCTATTCGTGATTCAAATTAATGGATGAATTGTAAATTAGGAGTCTAATAGTAATAAAAAATGAACGCTCGAAATGACCCATCAGTTTCCTTTGATGTGGCAAAGTAACTGAATAATCAAGAATAATCAAGTTTTTAATAAATTCTGACTCGCTGAAAGATGTAGATTTATTATTTGCCCGATTACACATATGCTATCACATAGCCTATGGAAATCGGGTAAGCCATTTTAACAAGCATTTTTAACAACTATTCTTATTTGTATCCAAACGTATCGTATTGTAGTAGACTCTAGTGAAACGTAGCTGGATTTAATAAGCAGTTTATTTTACATACTGTTTTCTCGTTTAATGCGTTGGTCAGTGTACCCTGGCCTTTCAGTGGGATGTGTGCTGCATATAGGTATTTTTTTAAGTACACATTAGAACCGACTAATTTCGCCTGGAGTCGTGCCAATCTGTGTGACACATAAACTGTTAGTTCCGGGGCGCCTTTCCCTCTCTAATTATAGCGTTCATTGACAAAGGAAAACAAACTCCGCTCCAGTCTGGAACTTGTTTTTCCGAGATTTTTTTTCCCAGCTAGCGTGCTGCCACCACGTGGTGAGTTTTGGTATAGCGCTAGCATACCAAATGCCAAATTATTTGTCATTCTGTATCCATCCATCTTACAAACGCTTATTGCATTGTGTTTCGAGATTTTTTTGATTTATGGGTTTATTAAATATGCAGCCTACCAGGGTAATTTGTGCCTTCTGGGTCTTTTTTTTAAACTGTAACAATATCTTCTGTATATTATACGTTAATTATAATACATTGTATCCATCTAGTCCCTTATCTGCATTGGGGTCAAAGGGGCAGCATAGGGTGCACCCAGGGAAGGACGCCAATCCATCACAGGACACATACAGGCACAATATGCAATTTAGACACACTGGTTACACTGTCAGAAAAAAAAGTACCAATTTGTACCTTTGAGGGTGCAATTACAAGTCACTGGGACTGTATCCTCAAGGGTAAATGCACCTTTTTAAGTTACAGAAATGGTTTATGAGGAACATTTCTGTGCCCTTGGGGGTACATTAGAGTCTATTTCTATACCTTAAATTAGACTAAAAGGTACATTCATCTCCAGCAAGGGTACAACTGGCAGACCCTTGAGGGTATAGCCCCAATGACAAGCAAACGTTCAAACTGATTTCTTCTGACAGTGTAGCCTCAAGGCTCTGCCATTTGTACCCTAGCTGTAGGTAAATATATCTTTTAAAGCACAGAAATGGAGTCTTCAGAACATTTCTGCACCACTGGAGGTACTTTAATGCTGTTTGTACCTTGGGGAACAAAAATGTACCTGGGCTGTATCCTTCTGTCTGTGAATGTGGGCTATAGTGCCATGTCTTTGCATGGCAGGAGGAAACCCATCCAGTACAGAGAAAAGATGCAAAATCCACACGAGAGGAGCAGAGCAGGAAGTCAAAGCCCCGTCCTGTACATGTTGAGCACCGGGCACTGAGCCCTCCTTCCGTCTGCCCCATGTCTGTGTGTGACCCCCCACCGCTTAAGGGTGCGTGCTTTAGGTGAGTCCGTGCCTTTGAATTACCCTTAGAGAGTGTGTATGCTGTGAGGGACAGGGTGGGTCCTGTCATGTGGCCCCTGGAATAGGGTCCTAGCACTCAAACCATAGATATATACTGTAGAAAATGGGAGGTGTAACATGTGTTTTGTGTGATTGATTGTGCTTTCATAATGTCAGATTCTCACAGTGGTTAAATAAATAAGTACAAAAGAACTGCCCCAGGCACTACAGAAAGTCAGTCTCACTGCTGAATCCATGAGTTTACTTTGGCTGCATTGCCCCATTAAATATAACAATTCACAAATCAAGCATCATCTAGTGATTGTGCATAGGACAACAAAATTTAACAGCAATGGAGTGGCCTGTCTGAAAGTATTATCAAGTCACAGATGTGTGTTCAGTCCACTTGACTGAATAAACATGTATATATCTGTATGTTAATATGCAAACAATTATCCATTCATTTCCCATAACTGTTGAGGGGGGGGGGGGGGGTCGAACCCACCACCCTGTGAGAACTGTTGTGCCTCTCTGTTGCATTGTATAGTTATACAACTAACAAACCCTACTTTGGTCATTGTTACATATGCTAATGTTCATTTCTTCCATAATATTGGTGTTTGGTGATATACATGAAATGCACTGTTTAATAATTTCGCATGGAAGCTTTAAATAGAATTATGAAAGTAAGTAGAGTGTTTTTCGAGTGGCTAGAAAAGGCGGATGAAAACAGGAGACGTCGCCGCTAGTCCCCTTTTCTTCAGCAGATGGCGCCGCTGAATTAATTTTCCACTCCTTCTCCAGGCTGTGATGGAATGTCGGCAGAGCTGTGAAAGAAAATAATGCGTGTGACTGTGTAAAATCAAACGCATCTGAACATTTTATTTGTTTTTTAAGAGGCTTTGATGCTGCGATGTCTATTAATTTGGTTACTTTTTGGTCACAATAATGAACGTTTTTACTTCTTACACAAACTTTTATTAGTGATTTTAGTTGCAGATTAATTACATTTTACGTTTATTTTGCAGATGGTTTTGTGCAAAGCAACGTACAAGTCAGGCAACTAATGTATCACAAACAACAAATGATTCCTTACTTTGTTCATTGACTTCCGAGTTGCAGTAAGAAATTTTTTTCCTGTATATCTATTCATCTTCATCTCGTATATTGCTTGTACAGTTCATGCTTGTCATTACATGCCACACGGTGGGATCAACGCTTTTATTATCAAAAGTACCCCAGACCTTTCGAGTATTGAGAATCTCCTTTAACTGATAGCTGACGATCCAACATAGCAACCAGCTTTTATTTATTTATGACTTTGATGTTTTACCGAATATTAGACGGGGTTTTTCCCCTCAAAATAAACCTGAAAAAGTATTGTCCTCTCTTATTCCGGGTTTAGACAAAAAAAGGGAGGAGATGGCGCCAAAAACGATATTTTGTAGCGAGTGTTTTGACTTACCGTACTACGCATTTGCCGTAACATATCTTGCGTGAGCGTGACAGTCCGAACGCGTGAGTGTTACGCCGGATGCGTGAGAGCTGGCGGCGCTGCAATGCGTGTGTTTAGCGCGTATCCCCGGGTGTGAATGGTTGGCTTCCCTGGCTGTGTCGCTGATAGCGTTAAACTGAAAGTGGCTGTTAATAACGACATTCATTTAGAAAGAGCTGTCATGTCATTTATTAGTATGACTCAACCTTTCTCTGCAGTACATTTTTTACCCTCTTCGTGTGGGTCTGCTGCGTCGAAAACTTCCTGCGCCCCCAAGGGTTGTAGAGTTTGTAATATTCATTGCCTACCCCCCGCCCAAATGATACATTTGTTTTTTGGAATGTTTGCTGTTTAATACACTTATTGTAATCCGATTTGATGTGAAGATACAGATGTGAAATGTAAGAAGTTTCCTCCATGCTGGGGAGCGATATGGTAGAGCCCACTTTCTCACCTTCTGTCTCTTCTTCCTCATAATGTTACTGTGTAGTGAGAAGATCACTGAAGCTCACAATTATTGCTGGACAGTGATGTAATGAAATACGTGTTCGTAGGCATAAGCATTGCATAACTTTAAATAAGAATCAAGGCCATTTAGAGTCGATTTTACCACAGTTTTATGACCGTTTCACAGTTGAACTTTTTAGAAATAGTTAAATGAGTTTTTTTAGTTATTTTATATGCATCAGAAATGAAACATGAAGCATTCTGCAATACATTACTGCTTCTTTAGGATATATCTACAGTAACTTACATGTTAGTTGTAAGCTAAAAGACTTGAATGTATTACCATGCTCAAGGATATAACAGTGATTTCCTTCCTAGAATCTGTAAGCAAGTTTATCTTCTAAATTATTACAGCACAAGTGTGCTTTCATTTAACATAATCAAAAATGCCAAAATAGTAACATCAGACTTAACAGAACATTATTATCTCTAATGATGCTTGGTGGAGTCTGATGTTACTATTTTGACATTTTTGATTATGTTAAATGAAAGCACACTTGTGCTGTAATAATTACCGATTATTATTCTATAGCTATTTTTATTATCCTATACCTAATATTATTCATCACTTTACAAAGGATCACTGAGCATTTAAATGAGATCTGTCTGTGACAGGAAAAAACAATTTTCCGCTAATTTGTTCTCAATTCTCTTATAATGACTGTGATTTTTTTTTCTTGCTTGACTGTAGCATCGGCAGTGTGTGGATTGAGCCGAACACAAATACCATAACTCCACATGGCAGGAAACATTGTGTCATGAATAAGTTATCTTACGGAGCACTACTGACCCTATTTTTGTTAAAGGAAAGTAAAGTGCAAGTGGTATCACTAAACTGCAGTTTATTAAAAAAAGAAAAAGTGGAGTGCTACAAGAGTACTGCTACAAGAGTAAAGCAGAGAGCTAGAAAGCAACAGCAGAGTGTTACAAGAGTACAGCGGAGTGCTAGAAGAGTAAAGCAGAGAGCTAGAAAGTGACAATGGAGTGCTGCAAGAGTACAGCGGAGTGCTAAAAGAGTACAGCAGAGAGCTAGAAAGTCACAATGGAGTGCTACAACAGCACAGTAGAGTGCTAAAAGAGTATAGCGCAGAGCTAGAAAGTCACAATGGAGTGCTACAAGAGTACAGCAGAGTATTAGAAAGTCACAGGGGAGTGCTCCAAAAGTACAGCTGAGTGCTACAAGAGTACAGTGGAGTTCTTCAAAGGTAAAAAACCTCTGACTGCAAAGAGGTTGTATCCATTTTTAAGTGTTGTTTACATTAGCCATTATTAATTATTTTGTCTTTATCTTTAATGAATGCAGTGATTTGTATCAGAATTAATACTAGGTCTTTTCATAATCCAGAAATCAAAGCATGGGCATGTGACAGATCGTTAAAATTGTTAATATCACACATCACATTTAAAAAGGAATTTCAAAGGATAAGATGTACAGGAAAACAGGACTCAGAAGGTCCATAAAAGATACACTATAAATCCTTTTCTGAAGTTGGCACAATGCATGAAGTGTGTTCAGGAAATTCCCCCAAGGACATTTCAGTAGGCTAACGTTTTTTTTTTTTTTTAATCAGTCAGACAGTCCCTCTGTGCCTCTCTGATCAGTGTGGAGAGACGCAGAGAGCGGTCAGGTTGCTAAAGTGCTGGGCACTGAGCCCCAGCCTTCCTGCGCTTCCTCTGAGAAACAGACACTGCTGTGCCCCTGACAGGCAGAGAGCCCGATCCTGCGCATGCGAAGGGAAAGGAATCGCTCATGAAAACCTGGAGCATTTTTTTCTGTGTTTGACTGCCTTTGCAGGAAATATTTCAGCTCTGTCTGAGTGGGTGACTAGCACAATGAAATCCAGACGAGACCCACCTCCGGGCTACGCAGGTCACACTCACACCCGATCCAAAAAAAGCCAATAGATTGATTCGAAAATAAATCAAGGGATCAGAAAAAAACTTTTTTAAAAAACATGCACATGACTAGCCTGTTGTCATCTTTGTCAAGATTTTTAAAATTATAATGTAAAATTGTCGACATTCAGAGGCCAGTGAATATAAGGGATTGGTTAAGTGTGCAGAAGTATTCAAATCCCAAGAGTGGGACAGTAGATGAACATGAGACAAGGTGTCTTACCAGAAATACCTTTGCGAATATATAGCTGGACAGACTGATCAAAAGGTATGAGCATTACCAATATGAATTATACAGCATTTTTGCTAAAAAATGAATTAAAAAAACATCAGAAGTTTCTTAAATCAAAAATATAAAATCTGAAACAAGAATCCAAAATCTAGAATAGACATAAACACACTGGGTACAGACACAGATACGCAGAGATGCATTGATACCATCGCGGATTTAAAAATGTGTTGTTAATAGAAAGGTAGATTAAAATACACCAATATACAATGAGTGCCTCTGCTGCTGACACACAATACCGCACAAGATCTGTGAGAGATATTTAAATGGATTTCAGTCCCAGCTAAAGTTTTATAATGTCTGGAAGTTAATAGGTCTTATTTCCCAACCCCCCCCCCCCCACACACACACACACACACACCACCCCTTTTCCTCCCCCTGGTGATTAATTACGGCCGGGAGGACGGCTGGGACTCAGCCCCC